AAAGGATATATAAATGTCTGTTTTCACAAAAGTACAAAATACGTCTCTATGTTCTTGAAGAGTTCCTTAATTTCCTATCAAAACAAGCTTTTTTGAAAGAATAATTTTCTTCCTAAACAAGAAGGTGTGATTAATTTAGACGAGTTTCGATCATTGCCACTTCAAGTTATTCAAATGCTTTGAAATTAACACTTTCCAAACGTTTGAATTTGTGTGAATATTGTGAATGAGGAATTCCCCTTGAACACTTGTATTTGGATAACTAGAAATAGAGAGAGAATGAAAGAAAGCTCGCCGGTTGAGCTTCGACTGTGTTCACAACACGGTTAAATCAAATGGGTTCACGGTAGCGATGGAAAAGAGTATTTGTGTGTGCTGCTTCTATTTATAGTTGTTTTTATATTTGAGTAAATCTTTGAGATGGTTTTCGAACCATCAAAAATATATACAGATCATACCTTCTGACCAGAGATCTGTGAGGTCGTATTAACTCCCCTTCTCCTGTAGAACAAACTAAGAAATTACCTCTTTACAAATTTCGGAAAAATATGTCGATTTTGTTAGGTGTTTCAGGCGAAAAAGTGAAGACTTCTTTTGGTCATTAATTTTTCGGAGACGAATTCACCTTCCATATATTTCGAAAATTTTGAAATACTCCCCCTCCGCTTGGATCGCCAATTTTAAAAGCTATAGTATAGATTTAACCGTCTTAGAAAGGAAAAGTGACTGGAAAATCTGTAAATTATGCAAATTTGAAGACGGTTAACATTTATCACCTAAATCAACAAAAGTGTCATGTATAGAATCTAGCGTCTATTTGCCTTGGTCTATCCGCTTGTGCTCTGTGCATCATCAGCGGCGGCGGCAGTGGCGGCAAGGGAAGCAGCATCAACATCATGAGCGACTATGACATTTTCAAGCCTATTTATGGTGGCACATAAAAAACACATATACACACACAAAATCACAGACACCGTCATTTCTCATACAATACGTTTTTCCACATACTCTATCGCATACTGTATCGCCCTTTCTTGCTCCATCTTCTTTGCATTTCGAAGAAAAACGGAATATATCTTGAAGGCGTAATTGTAAGACAACGGCAAGAACTCAATTTTGTTGCGTTTCGGGTAAAATAAAATAAAGCCAGCCAACAGGCGAATATTGTTTAAGCATCTGGAAAAACAACCCCGTCGCTCGATTCTCATTCAGCGGATTTATCAAAATGGTCGTGTTAATTTTGGTGTGCTTGTGAATGCGCATAGCATATGAACAAACGAGCAAACACATTTAGATCGGCAAAAGTGATCTACATAATAATTTTTATTAGAATGACGAAAAATGATGGTTCAGTATGCCAGTTGGGTGACAGTACAAAATGGGTCCCCACAGAAAGAAACTCCAGTGATAAGAATTAAAAAGTTATATCCTAAAAAAGGCAACAAAACGCCGTAAATAAACAAAACACGAATAAAAAAAAAACGAGAGAAACGATGCTAACTGGAAATGAAAAGAGATACAGAGTCAAAGATATGGAGAGAAAGAGTGGGTGAATGTAAACAAATGCTCGTATAAGCGAATAAAGCGAAGAAATCAGGAAATGTGTGAAGCAACATATTTTCAGCAATGCCAAAAACCAAGTGGCAAAAATGCTGCGATTTAGAGAAAATCCTTCGAATGGCTTAATGTAATGTACACACGCTTTGCGTTTCGGCATGTCATTACGCATTTAACAACAAAGGCACCAACTTTTATACGCTCATTTTGTGGAGCGCACGAATTTTGGCGAATTCATAAAAAAGTAAGACTGAGGCGCGAATACGAAAACACAAAGTGTACATATGTATATATATATATATATATATAGCCACCAAGTCAAGCCAATAAAATGAAGCGATGGCATTTAGTCATTCAATCATTCTGAATATAGCTGTATCAAACTTCACCGTCAACAGAAGAATATTATTTTAAATTGACTGCAGTTGAACTTTCACTGTTTGCATTGCTCTTTAAATCGTAACATAATTCGAACGAAGTGAGCTACATGAATGGTAAAAAGCGCCAATATTCTCCTTGAATAACATGTGGGCAAATATTCAGCTGTACGTCACAGTAAATTTGACTATTACATCGCGATATTGATGATGAGATGGCCATTTTTTTTCTGGGTTTTGTTCATCATCTGCCAAATCGTGAAAAACTTTTCGCTGGTAACAAACAGAAAAAGAAGAAGATTGAAATGGCAATGCAGTGAATTATTCACAGGCGATATGAAATATTTGCCAAAGGAATAATCGCCTGCTGAACAAGCGGTATTATCCGTACGATTTGCGTATCTGAAGACAAGGAAAAAAAGTAACGAAACCAGAACGAAGCGACAATAAAACCAAGGCGCACAGATTTCGATATTTCCAAGGGAGAGAAAAGAGGACGTTTTACATTTTTTGACTTTTTATCATCATCTGTACCTCAATATTGTACGGTTCATCCATAGCGTAAAGTTTTGTGCGTGCGTTGAGTACCGATTTGGTTGGCTGTTGAAAGCTCTAACATAAGGTATATGATCGCGTTTGTGTTGATTAAGAAAAAAGAGCGAAGGAAGAAGAAGAAGAAAAAAAGAAATAAATTGAAGCGATGAAAAAGTCGGCAGGTTAGTAGTAAATGTGAATTGCTGTTGAAAGTGTTTGCCTGTTTAACGAAGCTTGCGGCACGCACATCATCTACCAACAAGAGTATTGTTTCATTTTATGGATCTAAAAACACTGCAATGGCAAAAAAGTACAACACAGAGAGTGGTACACATTTCAAAGCAATGTAAATTGAATGTGAATATGCGTAAGAGAAATTATCATTTCTATTCCTTTTCTTCGTTCACACTTTCACGCTTCTCTTCTCTTTTTCATTCGATTTGCCTGATTTTGACCTCGCACACGATTCCACACACACATTTTCAGGTGAATGCTAACTGCTTACACATTTTGAACGCGCGTACTAGATATCTGAACTGAATTAATTATTCATTTAAATAGAATTAATAAAACTAAGACATCTTTGAAATTTTATGATAGATCGCGACGATATGCGCTGTACGTGGTACATTGTACGTGGTAAGTGGGGGAAAACTTTATATATATTTACCTATATCTTTATTCTCTCCCTCCCCCCATTATTTTTATCTTTTTTCTGTTTTCCCTCACAATTGCATTTGTTTATGCTTTAGTTCAATGCTAAATTTTACACACTGCTAACACACAAGAACATTTTAAAATGGCGTCCACATCAAATTAACATCACCATGTTCGTATAATTATTTCTTGCATATCATTTCTATTCTGGCCCATCAAAACCATTGAACATCACGAAGTAATTGTTTAATTCAAAATTTAGCTTCAAATTTGGAATAATAATTCCGTTTGGTGCCATTACCATGTTTTTATCATTTTGAATGTGGTTAAATGCTTTTGTTTCATTTGATTTGTTTGTGATGCATGCTCACACATTTTCACAAATATACGCACACAAAATAATCGAAAATATACACTAAATAAATATGGTACGTTTGTTTATAATATGTAATCATTTTGAATTTCATGTGTTCATTTCTAACTAAACTAAAATGAGTTTGCGAAATAGTTTCTATTTTGAAGCGATTAATCCGGTGTTTTGTTCAAAATGTTGAAATTTTAACCAAAAATTGTTTCATGCAAATAGAAAACATCCTTAATATCTACACAAATATGGAATTGCAGTACTATAGTGAGACAATGTATACATTGGCGTATGACTTGAAAATAGAATTGCAAGAGAGTTGATGCCAATAATCGTATCTATTATTTGTTTGCCTTTTGTAATTATATTTCTACTGTTGCTTGTGATAACAATGTAGATTGAAGTATAAAACAGAGGAGTAAGTACATGAAGCTCTTTATGACTCCCTTTGCCACCTTTTTGGTGAAATGTTGTTGTTGCTCTTCCAACCCATCCACGTGCTATTATGTTGAAGTCGGTCTAATTCTTTAACCTTTTTTTTTCTTGTTCGTTGTGCATTCGTTTTTTGTGTCATTCCAATTGTGCCCCTTTCTTTTTGCTTCTAACACGGTCGCTTTCGTTGTTTCTCATTTTCCATTTCTTTGTCGGTTTTTCTCTCACTATTACGTGAATAGACGTTTGGTACCGAAGAAACAGAAAACATATGCGGACGAATTCTTTATTCCCTCAAAATTAATTAAAATGAGAAATGGGTAGTATGCTGTTGTGTAGCACGAAAACAAAAAGAAAATACATTACACATTGCATACATAAATCTCCTTTCTTTTCGATCTCATTTTTTTTTCTCTTTTCGTGTGCGTTCTCTTTTTCATATCTCTCTATTTCATTTTATTTCCACTTTCACGCACTTATTCGTTTCAGATTTGAGGAGTAGAGTTTTACTTCGTCCCATCCAAACCAATAGGTTTTTCACACTGCTTTGAACAATTTAATGAAATTTCTCCCCTTTCCCAGAAGAACTTCAACTTTTTCTCGCATCTTTTCGCCACATTTATTCCACTTGTGTGAAATGTTGAAAAAGAGAAGACCGAACGAAAAACACGCAGAACAATTTAAACAAACGAATCTACCGTGTGGTATCGCATATAAAAATTGTTGCGCTTGATCTAGTGCATGAAAAGAAGGACTTTAGAATTAAGAGTGTGATTTTTCTATGTCATTTTTCGCTGTGAGTTATTCATTCATTCTATGAAAGTTTTTGTTTGGCTTTGCTATGGGCAACATTTTCAATATTATCTTCTTCTTCCATATATTATTACCATCAACGGCCAACTTCAGACCAGCTGATTTCAAGTGATTACTACTCTTAGTTTTTTTTTGTGGTATTCATTGTTGATTTTAGTGTTGGTTTTTTCTCGTTCTTAATGCGCGAACAAATTTTCCCGTTTTTTTTTTGTTACTATTAGAAAAATACAACAATTTTGCTGAATAAAAAAAATTGAAATACGAACCTGCATAAGATGGCCCGTTCGGTTGGTTTAAACTTCCATAAGACAGTGCATGACATGAATCTCCGCTACCTGATACCACCGCTATCTCATCTAATTCATGGCCCGGTGACAAACTTGTGGCAGACACTAGACGTGTTGATGATGTTCCGGCTGTTGTTTGAGATTCTTTCCGTCCTCGCAGGGACAGAACCAGCCGTTTGGCGGTTGACATCACAGTGTTAACTATAGAAAAAATCGAAAATCAAAAAAAGAAGAAAGAGACGGGAAAATTGTGAATGAAGAAACAAAACTTAATGTTTATATTACATTATGTGAACGATAAGTGTTTCGTAGAAATAAATAGAAAAGATTTACTACTTTCTAGAAATGATTTCGATTTGATAAAAATGATAAAAGTGTCTCATTCATGAATATTCAAATAGAATATTTTATTAGAACCCACATAACGTCATGAGAAAATTCAGTTTTCATCATCATTTTCTTGACACGCTTATGTTGGCATAAGTTGATTTCATTCTACTATATAATCTAATTTTGCCTGGTTTATTTTTCATCACAACAATTTTACATATATTTTCGCGTGAAAAAAAAATCCCTTAAAAATGTGGTTTTCGCAAGATAACCAATTATTTGTTGTTTTAATGAAAATATAATTATAATTCAGAATTACCGCCTCAGAATAATATTTTCGCAAACACTCAGTCGATGAATTGAAAAAAAAACCATAAATTTTTCGGCGTTGTACTCATCATTTTTCCTTGAGTGAGTTTTTTTACAAAGCTACAGCTTATTGAAATTCACCAAATGAATTAATTTTGAATGAATTTATTTTTGAACACTGTTATTAGTATCAAATCATGTTGACACATGTGATAAGTTTAGTGATTTTGTATTATAAGCTCAAAAACAGATCCGTATGGATACCAGATCCAGGTTAATTCGATGCAATGAATGAAAATTCCGATTAAAGGTTATTCTTTTATTGTGTACGTTGCCGTCAAGGTTGCTGTTTTTCATTCTGTTTTATAATATTATATAATATTTGAAATTACTCTGCCTGCAATTGGTGCCACAGTTCGTGATTATTTTCCAGTTTTTGTAATAAAGTACTGATAGTACTCTATTGTTTTAACTTTTCGAAGCGATCAACCGTCTCATTCACATACTTTTATGAACTTAATAATGCAAGAGTCCTTTTGTATTTGGCGTTTGTTTGAGGTAAAACAAACTATGAAAATGTGGCTATAGCTATAAGACAAACAAAATAGTAACGTTTTCAGTACATTCTAACATTGAAAAATGTAACGTTTTGACCCATTTTGGTGGTCATTTTCATGTCAACTGGAACGGATATTATGTGCATTCCACGAATTCCAATGGAATTGATCAACTTCATTCACTTCTGATAACATTTCTTTTGTCAACAGAATGTGAACACAACCCAATACATTAAGTTTTAAGTTTTAAATTGCAAATTGAACGATTCATTTTTTTATTCACGCTCAAATAAAAAGAAATAAACAATTCATTTCGTGTAGTAGCGTGTGTAGTAGTTGATTTCTATATAGTTGCCGTTCCAATGTAACAAGACACGTTGTTTGCATAAGTAGTGGTTGCATTCTCTATAGTCGCCGTTCGAGTGTAGCCATGTAATTGTTGTTGTTCTTTCGTGTGAAGAGAAAAGGCTGTATTAAATGATGTATTTTGGCGCTCGTTGATAAATATGTATCGCAATATTTATTGAAATTGAGAAAATATTTTTTTAATAAAAAAAATTTTTTTTTTTAGATATCTAAACTTTTGTATAGATTTAAGAAAAAAAATCATTTCTACCAATAATCTATACATTATTTCCGTGTGTGCGCAAAACGGCTTCAAATCGATACCTCATTTTTTCGAATCTGTCGGTTAATTGCCAGCAGGATTTCGTGTTTTACTAGAGAATTCAATTCCTTGTTGACGCACAACAACAGCACATATCAACAATCTTAGGAAGAAACAAAACAAAGAACAGATCGATTTGATATCGTCAGAAGTGAATAATTTCACTGTCGTTCCGATTTCAGGTGAAAAGCATTCGTTCGGATGAAAGATTTGCATACCGATTGTCATCTTTGTCAATCCGAAAACGAACCGACTGAATAAACGCTCCGAACACTATTACAATGATCGCAAAGATGAACTATGACGGTTGTTGTTCAATATACATAAAATTCATCAATTGGACAAACAACAGAAGCAATTCTATTTTCAAATCGTCACCAACAGTGTGTCCATAATATATAGAAATAGCACTACACATGGAAGACACACTACACATGGAAGATATTTCCGCACGGCACCGAGCTTACGGGACGCTGATCCAGATGATATAATAACACGCACAGTTGTTTTTCATCTTTGCAGCAAAGAATATTATATCCATTGGTATTTATTTGTATATGATCATTATCAATGATTCATCGATCGATTGACAATAGTATCTGTTTATTGTTTACATTTTTTTTGATTACTCAGGACCATACAATGTTGCTACCTAGCTATCTATATCAGCTATCACTATAGGAATATATAAATAGCTGCTATTTATTGCATCTCTTCGATCATATCTAGCTGGCAACATTGTATGCTCAGTACTTTGTCGACTTCTTGGCAGTGGATTTGAATTCGTGTTGCCAGCTTCATTGAAAAGGCCGAAAAACAATCATCAGCGCAATCATGATATTCTGAACGTCGCTAAAATCCACATTCAAAGAATTAATAATTAATAATTTATTACCCTGTTAGATAAAGCTTGACCAATAGTGTGTGGCCCTGCAAAAGTACGGAGGGCAGGAGCCCGTAGGTGATTAAAGTTTTTAATTAAAAAAAATATATTTCATATACAATTCAATTGATACTAAGAATTATCGTTCCTCTTTTCCATGTATTCACACCTGAATGTTACGCTATGGCAACCGTAAAAATGACCCAAACTGGACTTGAGCGTTCGCACAAACTCCATTACACAAAAGCATATTACCAACTTCAAAATATAAATTGTTTGGAAAAATTCAACGAATTTCAATTTTGAATCAAATTACATTTTCGATTAAATAAAATTAATAATTTGTACTAATTCATTGACGTTTTTTGTGTGTGCAAAAATTCAATATATTATAAATATTTAAAATGTGTCTGATTCGAATATTGTTGGTTGGTAAGCTAAATCTAATTTCAATTTGATTTGATAAACATTGCGAGAAAAAAAAAATGCAGCCACACTCGTGTAAATTGAATAGAGAATACCATACACATGTGCACATACGTGAAGCATGTGTTCGTGTGTGAGATAGATGGAAAGAGAGAGAGAGAAAAAAAACAATTACGAAAAGCTTTAATCAAATTTAGTCTGACAGTGGCAAGATAAATTGTGACGCACGATGCGTAAAATATTTGGTCAATAACCCATGAGATACAAACGATGGTGGGCCATTGATGTTCAAAATTCGTCACGGTACATGCATTTGATATGTAAACGGTTCTCAATCAGTTATCGAATATTGTGACATGAATGCGTTTGGAGCAACAGAAAATTTGATAAAGCATCCACATTCACATACAATCAATCATATCATCTTATCCATTAGAATGTGAATTGCTCTGTTCATATTCGAATCGGTTGAACGACACATGTGTTGTTGTTGTTGCCTTTTGTAGGATTATACATATCTATATGTAAATTCATGTTTATGTTTGTAAATGCATATCGATGTGTCTTGTCTCGGTTTTAGCATGATCCAATTGATTTTGGAATATGCATCGAAGGCAATTTAATTTGAAAATTGTAAGCATATTTATTATGGCGTTGTATTTATTGTTACACGGCACGAATCGAATTGACATTGACGGCAATTGTTTAAACAATCGTTTAGATTTAATGGCAGACAAACAGCCTAAAACTTTTTATTCGCCGCCTGTTCAATATATTCGTTCAAAATATATGTATATTATCGATTCAATTCAATTTGGCATCGCATTTGGCTTATAACTAGAATAGAAAGATAAATGATGTGCACATTAAATTGAATTTTATGCAAAAATTGCTGATTTCAAGACATTTACGATAGTGTGGCAAAGCGAATACTATACTTTGATTTAATGCTGGGGATTTTTGATTCGCTTACGCACTTCAATGCACATTGGAGCAAGCGGAAGAAGAAGAATAAGAAGGAGAAAGCGTTGAAGTTAACGCAAATTATTGCAGCGAAGAGGAATTCCGAAAGCATTACGTAATACGGGTATTGCAATGCAAATACATTGAGCAATTTATGCGATATTCCAAATATTCTGCAAGACTTGCTTTACTATAGTCATTCTTAAGGGAGAACATGAACAAGAACAAGTACCATAAACTAAAGGTATAGATGGATTATAATAAATTTAATACATTCACCGCTTTGTGCATATAGCGAATGCATAAATGCTTCATTTCACTCTCACTCTCTCACTCTCTCTATTTCCATCTCCATCTCGAGTTCACATTAAACGTACGATAGAGATTCATATTCGGTGGCTTAAATTGGGTAATATTACTTTCGAAAGCGAAGCAATGAGGTAAGCCATTCATGCGAGGTGCATGTATATGTTTGAATTTCAAAACTAACATTCGATTGCGCCCGATGGAAAAGAGCAAGAGTAACCGAGAGTAAGAATGAGAAAGGGTGATCGAGCAAAATATTGACAGCAAGGGTATTGCAGTTTGTAGTGCACAATATATCGTTCTCATGAGAACTGCACTGTTTATTTCATAGCCACATCTCAACCATGCACTTACTCAACAAGAATTTAATGAAACAAATTAATTAGCTTTTAATGACTAAAATAATTTGGATCCCGTTTTTCTTTTTTTTAATTGGTTGCACGGGTTACTATTTGCGCACATCCTAAACACATTATGGCAACAGAGCGACTATGATTTTCCCTTGAAAATTATTACAAAAATATCACTCAATTTTCAGAAGAACATAAATCGAAATTCAATTGATTTGCTGGTGCGATGGTACTACAGACAACATACAATGCTCGGATATATAATAATATATAAATTTGATGAAATAACAAGAAAACTATGTTAAGCCAGAAATGGCCAAAGTATTTTCTTTGCGTGTGCTTGCTCATCGGAATGAATGAAAAATGATGTTTTCTCTTTGGTCCTCCTTTTTTTCGGTATATGAATTGAA